TTTGATTGATTGATTGATTGATTGATTGATTGATTGATTGATTGCAACACACAAACACGCACACTATGTCGCATGTTTGTTGGGCTCCTGTTTACATGCATGAAAAGTGTGAATGAGACGAGTCTCGTTGCACAGAGAGAGAGAGAGAGAGAGAGAGAGAGAGAGAGAGAGAGAGAGAGTTGCATACTGTAACGTGCAGACCAGAACAAGAACCGACCTCTCAATGCAAAGTACAAGATGGCGCAAACAGAAGACTTAGATAACAATGATCCCATCAATAAATGTTGCAATGCAGTCCATAACATACATCATCATTAATGCCAACCCCACACATACACAGACGAAGATGAGGGGGGGCTGGACGAAAAGGAGGGAAAGATGGGAATGTCGTCAAAACCAAGTCCTCGGCACAGGCCCAAATAGTCCCTCGTCAAAATGTCTAAATCCCAAATGTCGAGTCTGTATGCAATGTCGTCAAGTCCCAGGTCATATCTCTCTCTCGTAGTCCACAGATACAGAGAAGTAGGCAGCGAGAGGGGAAGAAGAGATGGTTGACTTAGAAGAGGAAGAAGAAGAACTCTCTCTCTCTCTCTCTCAGTCCAGTACTAACCTGTGAAGGTGGCGCTGTGACGCAGGTACCTCGAAGATGGAGATGGAGCGATGGTGCGACAGGTAAGTGCCACTGGCCTCCGCCAGTCACCTCTCTCCCATATCACTACTACCACTATTGCTATAGCGCCCAGCGCTGAAGACTACAGCTATGGGGCCCAGCGCTGAAGACTACAGCTATGGGGCCCAACGCTGAAGACTACAGTGGCGCTAAGCTGCCCTGGGCAGCGCTCCTCTTGAGTGCTGCTCCGCTATCCTCAAGACTACTACCTGAGTACTGTCCAACTACCTACCCGTGAAGTGCATGGGAACTTACTATGTACTACCGGGTGTGCCTCCTGACTCGTGCGAGGAGTCAAGGAGGCTGCTCTTGCCAATGCCGAAGGGAGGCAGGGGCTGCAGCTGCATCTCAATCAATCAATCAACCAATCAATCAATCAATCATTCATTCAATCAATCAATCAACCAATCAACCAAGCAATCAATCAGTTGATTGATTGATTCAATCAGTTGATTGATTGATTGATTGATTGATTGATGCAAGGAACATGAATATGGACGAAGCACAGAAATCCAGATTGCAAAATCACACTAAAGTCCAAGCAGTCGAAGCCAGAGCAGATAGCACAAATGGAACCGAGTAACCATCCAATTGAGAATGATACAGAAGTATCGTGAGTCAATGTCGAAGCTGAACCAGAGAGAGAGAGAGAGAGAGAGAGTGAGTTGACACACACGCACATAGATCAATCAATCAATCAGTCAATCAATCAATCAATCAATCATTCAATCAATCAATCAATCAATCAATCAATCAATGAATCAACCAATCAACCAACCAATCAATCAGTTGATTGATTGATTGATTGATTGATTGATTGATTGATTGATAGGTAAATGCAAGGAACATGAAAATGGACGAAGAACAGAAATCCAGATTGCAAAATCACACTCAAGTCCAAGTAGTCAAAGATAGAGCAAATAGCACATATGGAGGCGAGTATCCATCCATTTGAGAATGATACAGAAGAATCGTGAGTCAATGTCCAAGACCAGCAGGGTAACACCAACAACATAACCCAATGTACCTCTCTCTTGTGCCTTACGTTCAAGTGCCCTGGGCCCAACTAACTTAGAGGCCCAGGGATCGCAACATTTGCAGAGATTCGAGACTCGGTGCACTCCAACGAACTGGCGTGCTGCAACTGTATGCACCCCACTTCGTGGAATGTTTGCACAAAGGGCCCTTGTTGATTTGCTGGCCCGCCTTCACTTAGGCCGGCCACGAGGCTTGCTGAGAAGTGTGTGTGTGTGTGTGTGCGTGTTTGTGTGTGTGTGCGTGTGTGTGCGTGTGTGTGTGTGTGAGTGTGTGTGAGATTGGTTTATTGATTGGTTGATTGAATTAATGAATAATTTGATTTTTGTTTTGTTTGTATTGGAGAGAGAGAGAGAGAGAGAGAGAGAGAGAGAGAGAGAGAGAGAGAGCACACACACAATCAATCAATCAATCAATCAATCAATCAATGAATCAATCAATAAATCAATCAATGAATCAACCAATCAACCAAGCAATCAATCAGTTGATTGATTGATTGATTGATTGATTGATAGATTGATTGATTGATTGATTGATTGATTGATAGATAAATGCAAGGAACATGAATATGGACGAAGCACAAAAATCCGGATTGCAAAATCACACTGAAGTCCAAGCAGTCAAAGCCAGAGCAGATAGCACAAATGGAACCGAGTAACCATCCAATTGAGAATGATAAAGAAGTATCGTGAGTCAATGTCGAAGCCCAACCAGAGAGAGAGAGAGAGAGAGAGAGAGAGAGAGAGAGAGAGAGAGAGAGAGAGAGAG